AAGCAGGCAACAGAGCGCAAGTGCCCCAACGGCTGGGACCAGGCATATGTATGTGCGCAAGGTCGCGCGCCCACGGCCCCGGCACAGGGAGAGGGAGATCTGCCCCGATGTTTTTGGGTGCGTGCTCTTGCTCATTTCCCGGTTCCTCCCCCCCCCTCGTGCTTTGCCACCCATGCATCGCTTTTTGCCCATGGCAGTGATGCTCTCTCTCTCTCTGCGTCCGGGGGAAGTAACCACTAACAGCATCTCCCGTCCGATCTGCAGCCCTCTACAACGAGATCGACCTCGAGGCCCAGTTCCGCGCCTACGAGCAGGAGAGCTATGACAAGATCAACGCCATGATCGCTGAGGTCCCGGCTGAGACCATCAACCCCGAGATCTTTACCATTTTCCTGCGGAAGATCTTCAAGCGCAAGAAGTAAGCTCCCGCGCCCATAGCTTCATACCTTCTGCCGAATAGCTCCCCCCCATGCGCGCGTGCGTGTGTATGTGTGTGTGTGTGTGTGTATGTGTATGTATGCAGCCGCAAGTGGTCGACTGAGTGAGGATCGGCTCGGACACCAAGATACAGTCCATATATGCTCTCCTTCCTCTCGGCCCTTTTGTGTTTCGGGAAAAATATACGGCCCCTTGCACATTCCGAAACTTCGTCTGAAAAAGAAACACCCAAGAGGCTGATGGGGGAGCCCGCCCCCACCATTGCACCGAACCAGGCACCTTCAACCTCGAAGGGGGCGCGCGCGCGCTGGCAGGCGGGGGGGATGCACGGACAGGGGAGACACGAATGAGCAGCTCAGTCTATTGGCATGATCTCGCCCTCGGTGGGGAGGGGGGGGGGGGCAGAGTGCACCTTGTGCTGCGCAAGGAAAAAAAAGAGGAAAAAAGTAGCCCATATGGGGAGGGCAACACAAGAGGAAAGGATATCGGGGAGGAGACGGGGGCGGGGGTCTCTCTCAGCGTGGAGGAGATGCTCCGGATCACGCCTGCTTCGGTGCATCGGCCGTCGCGGCTGCGGCCGCGGCCGCCTTCTTGGCAGCCATCTCTTGGGCGAACTTCCGGTCGCTGGTCGACCGCAGGTACCGGGCCCGGGCCGCCACATACAGACGCCACTCCTCCTCGACGACGGCCGGGTCCTCCTCCCCGCGGAAGCAAGCCAGCTGCAGGGGGTTGACCGGCTGCGCCAGGTAGGTGGTGACCGGGGCTGGCTTGGCGGTGGTCCCCTCGGGAACATCGGCAGCCAGCTTGCCGGATGCCGTCGCCGGGCCCAGGGCCACAAAGCGGAAGTACCCGGTCATGGCCAGCTGGGGGCCGCTCGGCGTCGGGGCATGAGGCGACTCGGAGAAGACATCGACCTTGATCTCAATGTTGCTGCTCAGGGGGGGGGG